ACATACAGAAGAGTGAACCCTGTTTGAACCCCGCTGCTCTCATGAATCTCCCTCGCCCACTTTGTGAATGATTTGTTTGGTCCGCCTTTGAAGAACGTGGCCCTTGGTGGCACGGTTGAACTCTGGTCACCTGTCGTGCCACACCGGCAAAAGCAGGTGGCGTTTCTCGTACCTGGCGGGGGGAGCCGGCCGCTGTCGGCCGCGGGGGCCTCGAGTGACGTCTCCTGACCGGCACATTCCGAGACAAAGTCATTTATTTGTCCACTTTTGTGAATTTGCTGCACACACACTGCAACCAAAAATGGACGACTTCCTGTTCAATTTCAGCCAGAGGCTTTTTCGTTGGTCATGCATTAATAGACATGTCCGCACAATGTGGTTTTGATTGGGGCAACTAGTTTTAGGGGTGAATTTTTTTCAAACAAGAAAATGCACCCCAAATTTCTTTTCCCAACCAAAATTGCAAATGTCCTGTTCAATTTTCCGCATGGGTCCTTGAGATATTATGATGATGATTTTTTTTTGCACATTGTTACGATAAACCACCCAAATTTGTTTCGATTGGTCAAACTAGTTTTAGCTTAGTTTTAGATCAACCAATTTTCATTTTTAATTGGCCGAACGTTCGATGTTCGGGTTAGGCCTATGACCATACAGCCACCTGCCAAAATGTGTGCGTTTTCCGGCATGTTAAGGCCCCCCAAAAAGCTATGAAGAAGACTTTTTTTCTCTCTCCTCGTCTCCAGAGTGCCAATTAATCGCCCCTCGGAGTGCGACGTTCCAGATAGTTGGCAGCGGCGGGGCGCGACCGGAGCAGATTAGTGCCCTCCAAACACGGCGTGACGTGCGCAGGATGTCCATAGAGAGGCATGTTTGGTTAAAGTCAACGCTGAGCCGTGAGTGAATGCAGACGCCCGCTCGCACTGTGCCAGAGGAAATCCTGTTAACGTGTTACACATGTGGAGCGTTAGTCATCATTACACTTCGATAAACACCCGAGAGAGGACGGAAACAGTTTGGTGGAACGACTCTTCCTCCTGACGTGATTCATCGTAGCGGCGTACTTATTCCTTTTTTGGGACAGCGCTACCGCAGCCAATTTTTTTTTTTTCTCATGCAAACAAATCATTTGATTTGATTTAGTTCCATAACACATCTATTCTCGCACTGAATGAGTTTGTTGACGATACTCCCTAAGTTTATTGCCATGATTCAAATGAGTAAAATGACTTGCGCAGGCCCGTTGACGTTACAAAGAAATCTCAAATCTATCGATTCATATAGACGATAAAATGCTCAGTGTGAGCATGTTCAGCAAAAATGATGTCAAGATCAACAAAAAAAAATGTCTTCCATCTCATTTTTTGTCGCGGCGGGGGGGGGGGGGGTATATAACGAAAGGCTGAAAGAGTTCCAAAATATACGGGAGTTAAATCAACTTGATTTTAAGAATTGCCCGTGACCTCCACCTGTCGAAATGTTCTAGTTTTTGGACCAACACAGAGTCCTTCCTTTGGGGGAAACTGAGCCCAATCCCCAACTAAGACCTTCACGCATGCCTTCGGCAGCCTATGAAGACATCGAAGGCCCAAAAGCTTTCCACTATAAAGGAACCTCCCTCGCCATTGGTTCCTGGAAGCAACCCCTCGATCACGTCGAGAGCAGGACAGTCCTCAGACCAACGGGCTTGCTTCCCATGTTGGCTCCCGGACCACAATCGGTCAAATTCAAGGCCTTAACTCCTCTTGTCCCAGAGGACTTGGTCCACGCTTTACGCCTGCGGAACGGATTCAACCTGCGCCCAAGATCACGGCAGACTCTGTGCTCTGGGAGGGGGTTGGGACGGATCCAAAATCACGAGGTCAAAGCGCACAAGAGGTTAGAAGGGATGGCATCAGCAGGGGCCTCAGGGGTTGATGGCTGGGTTAAGAGGTGACTAAGCTCCGGGGATGAAGGGAGGCTTGAAGATGGGGAGGCCGCTGGGGAAAAAAAAATCAAAGTGGGGAGCTGGAGGCCTGCCTGAAAGCGGCTGGCCTCCGTAACACCTTTTCTCCAGTGTCCTGTCCTGTCGGCCAATGAGACTTCAGCCTGATATCCGTCCATCCAGCCAGCCACCTTTCCTGAGCCAGAGTCTATCCCAAATGAGTTCATTTGAAAGCCGGACGAGACTTTGCACTGGTTGCCGGTCCATCCGTCCGTTATCTGATCGGCTTCTCCTCAGGAGGGTCGCGGGCGTGCCGGAGCCCATCCCGGCATTGCTTCCTACGAACCAAGACTCAGTCTGTTCCTACCATTCCCTACCCTGGAATCTCCCTTATTGCTCCCACCGGTTCAAAGAACGAAACCTTCCAAATCCTCCAAAGGGGATGAATCGCTAATACAGCATCCAATAATGCTCTTCATTGGGAAGGACTTTCACCTCCAAACACTGCTGATCGATTCCATTCCTTCATTCTAAGCTTTTCTCCGGCCAGATCTCTCCCAGTAATCCCTTAGATCAGGGCACCAGCCCCCCACCCCTCATCCTTGCTCTGCTTATTAGATCAGGGGCCCCTGTCAAGAAGAAGCAAGGATCTGGGGGCCTCATTGTTTGGCCCCTGATTAAGAGCTTCTCACAGTGGAGGATCAGGCTGAAGGAGTGGGAGTCGAGGCCATCTCTTTCTTTGTCCGGAGGGAGGCGGGGGGGTCTTACGGGCCACATTGTTGCGAGTCTTCTTCTAAAGGTGGACTGGATTTGGTGTGGGATGGGGGCAGGAGGGGACAATGAGACCTTAGACGATGAGGGCTTTAAACCTTAAGCTTGTACTTTCAGGGCCAGCGGTCGAGCATTTGTCCACCCGCGGGTGATGTCCCAATCCATCTTTAGATGTGAAGTGAGCAGCTTTGGGAGACAATGGCCGTCTAAATGCGGCCACGGGTTAATTATCTACTCGCTATGGTGACTGAAAGCTGCAACTGCTTCCAAATGTAAAGTCCATCCTCTGCAAGTCCGTACCAAACTGCTTTTTTTTTTTAAATTTGCATTTGTAGTTCTTTGGCCCATTGATTTGAGCAACAGAAAAGTCAATTAAGTCCCTCCGTGACTTAATTGATGCGATCATCTCTGAATTCCACCTCCATATTTTTGAATCAACCTACCCACTGAAGTGGGACATCTTTTGGATGACAAAAAAAATCATCAGAGAAGCCATTCCTTCCGCCTTGGTCAGATGACACGTAAGGGTTAGTTTACTCGTAGTGCCGTCGGAGATCTTTGAGGCTTTTGCGTCAGGATGAAATCAACTTGAAGTGGCCCATCAGGTTCCTGCGCATGCCTGGCCATCACCTCCATCTGGAACAAGGAAGGAACCTGGCGTTGACTTGCTCCAAGTGGCGGATCTGCTCATCGCTCCTCCACCCTCCTTGCCCCCAAATGGCCCCCTTTTCAATCTCAACTGTTTGTCTTCTCCAGACACATTCGCCACCTGCCCTGGTCCCAGTTGAAAGACGGACTGGTCAGTGCCAAACTCGATTTCCATTGATGGCTTCTTCTTGGGCCCCGAGGACATAAACCACCCATGAGGTTCCTCAGGCAATCTTAATTCTTTAAAAAAAAATCACTTGCGTCCGGTCTCAGGAAAGACCGAGTTGCCGAACTTCTTGCTGGGTTGATTTCCTCCAATGTGTGATTGGCTTTTCGCCGTCTCTCTTTGTTGCTGAATGTTTTTCGGGGGTGTTCCTCGCATCTGCCCTACCACTCCTGACTTTTGTCTGTTCATTTGACTTCTCCACAGGCTGTTGTTGGGTTTTCTTCTAAGTTCCTCAGTGGCTATTTTGACAAACCTCGGGATGTATCGGAATTTTCTTCGCGTTCTGTTAATGACCGATATTTCTGGGGTGGATGTTATCATGGTCCGCCGTGTCTAGCGGACTTATAAAAAGACTGGAATGTCAGCGCGTATAACGGTAAAGGGAGACGTCGGTGGCGGGCGCAGGGAATACAGCATTCCAAAGGGATTGAGAGGCTGCATGGGAAAACCAAACGGAGGTGTTAATCTCAACCGAGTGACCCCCCGATTCCCCGAGCCACCCTCCTCTTCGTGTCCCATCAGCCTCCAAAGGGATCCTCTTAATCCCGCAGTCTCCCCACATGGACCAGGTCTTTCTTCAGCGTCAGTATTTGCACAAAGGCCCGATCAAAGCCGGTCAACGCGGAATGCGAGAAGACATGTTTTGTTTTTTTTTAGAGTGGATGGGAGTGATGCCGATTGGCCGGCCATCAAATAATATGCGCAGGAATGTTATTGTGCTTCCGCGCGATAGTAAAAACAGGCTTTGGTGCTAATGCCTCAATGTTGTTCGAGGATGTCTTTCAGTGTCTCTGCCAGCCGATAAGCAAGCGGCCGGTCCATTAGCTGCGGATCCCACAGGTTAGCGTTTTCTACTCAACGCGTTTCGAACAGATTTCTACATGGGCCGCAAAAATGGGATCTCCTTCCTCAGTTTTTGCCCAATTGATGACATTTTTTCTATCAACCAGTCAACGGTGGCGCAGCACTATAATTGTGATTTCATCCACGATTGTCCGCATTTGACGGGTGCAGCTCCATTCATTTCGTTGGCGGCGTGTCAAAAGCAATTGTCAAAGGTCCCTCGGCAGGATTCCCGCCTCTGCTCTCCTCCTGAGAGGCGTCTGCTGTCAAGACTGCTCGGATGATTTTTTCCGCTCGGTGTCCGGGGTGTCCGCATCTGTGGCTGATTTGCACAACAATTAAAAAAAAAAAGGGGCCTCCAGCAGCCCTGACTTAATTAGAAGGCATCTTCAGCTGCAGACAAAGACACCCTACAAGCTACACTAACAAGTGTTTGCCTTCACGTGAAGTGAGAGAATATGAGGCATGTCGGGAGCAATCTTCTAGTGGAAAATAGCGAAATAAATGACGGCCTTGGCCACCCAGGGGCGCTGCCGTGGACAGGGTCCTTGGTTTCCAGGGAGGGGGAGGGGCCGGGGGCCTGGTTTGGTGGTAAAAAGTGATCAGATCTTTCCGGAGTCCCTCAGATGGAAAAAGTGGAAAATAGCGAAATAAATGATGGCGTTGGCCATCCAGGGGTGCTGCCGTGGACAGGCTCCTTGGTGGAGGGGGACGGGGAGGGGCCGTGGGCCTGGTTTGGTGTTAAAAAGTGATCAGATCTTTCCGGAGTCCCTCAGATCAACAGGGCTCTGATATCAGCCCACTCATGTTTACACGCGTATGTGTGCACGTCGTCCAACAGCGCAGTGCCGCTTGCTGTCATCGGAGTGTCAAGCGTCACTTGCACGCAAACCAAGAAAATAAATTGCGCAAGGCCACGTGATAGGCTCGTCAGGTGACACGGTGGTCACATGATTTCATAAAGCGTCTCCTGATTCCAAAGTCTGCAACAACATTCCAGTCGTCACGAGTCTTTGCCAGCCCCAAAGTCTTAAAGCCACTTCAAGCCAAGGGCTGACTAATCGTAAATGGTAAAGCCCTTTGCTACTTAATCGTGAAACACATACCCATGATGACTTGAAGTGCAAT